TTGAGAGCTATAATTACAATGACATTGATTATTGAATCTAGGTACATCTGAGGACAAGACACTGTTTTTCCTAAAGGCTGCAAGAGAAGAAAAGTAAAGGAATAGGGTATAACCCCAAACTATGGGGTCTCCATACAACATTGCAAATGAAAATGTTCTCGCATCTATGATTGTCTGGTAACTTCCATCAAAAGCAGGGGGTCCCAACCTTATGCCTCCTTGTGCCCTGGAAGTTGAAAGTTCACTTCCTTAATTAGGAGTTTGGCCTCTATCCCACATAACCGACAACACGCAACCCGCCTTATTTTTACCTGATGGCTCACTGTCAGGCAGAGTTCTCATCAGTTAGGCTTTGTTTTTGCCTCCCTCCAGGTAGATTTTGGGAAATGACAGTCCTGGGAGAAAAGGCGGAGATCGCTTTAAAAAAATAGGAGCGGAGCTTGGACCTGTCTGTAGAGGAATTCCCTGCTGACCTGGTCATTCTGACCTATTGAATGGTCCAAATTCAATAAATGCCGCTTTATCCTGTCTTGAAAGGGAGGAGATAGCAGAGTCTAAATGCCTAGACATGCTTAAATAGTCAACTTGGGATGTTTGAGTTGAGCGTGTTTGAAATCTGAGCTCTCTGGCAGCCTGGGAATTGCCACAGGTCACCTGCCTTGCTCCACAGGGATAGGCCCAGGCTCACCAGAGACTGTCCATAGCAGAATTGTAGTACGAATTCCTTTCTTTGTTGGTTGGCCTCTTTCACTAGACCATGGCCTATAAAATTTTGTAAAAACAATCCTTAAATATTATTTGAAAGGGCAAATGGCCCACGCTGAAAGGTTTGACAGTTTGACATATAGTGCGTGGTTTTGATAGCTTAGAAACTGCCAAGTGTGGCCAGGAGTCTCCCCCTGCTTGTTAGAAGTCTGGTGTTGGTGGACTAGTATCTTTTTGCTGTGCACACTTCTTTTGCTTCTTGCAATCTGACAGGCAATGAGTCTGCTTCAGTGATCTTCAATCCTTTTAGACTAATTTGTGAGAGATCAGAAAAGCTAGCCACCTTAGAATGCAGCGTCTGAAAGCACCAAGCCAGGTACCGCCAATTAATCACAGCAAGGTGGAATCCTCTGGAGTCCTCTGATAGCATCAGATCCTATGCCCAGAGAGTCACGTAGGTGAGGGAAAGAAAGGAATGTGAGCGGCCTGGTCTGCTCTCATCAGAACCTGGCAAGTTGCAGGGAGTGGATTTCTGCATTAGAATATTGCATATGTGCAGCAGTGTGCAGGAAGGCAGCCATGGCTGCCTGTGCATAGCCAAAGGCCATTTTCAGGAGCCTCTGGCCCCTCAGTCACTGGCCTACTAGTTAATTGCCACACGGACTTCATGACACATGGGCAGATAATATGACATTTTCGGTTTCTGTCACTACCAAACGCCACAACGTTGCTTGCACTAGTTGCTAAGAAGCTGTCAGAAGCCATTAGCAGTTGGCTAAAGTCGCCCTGTGGCATTTCCTCATAGCATCAGCAAAACGAGCATAAATCACCCACTGGAGCCCACTGCTACCCTAATGAGGCCGTAAGCTTGTTTATGGAGGAGCATCATTTTTATGATTATTTCCACCTTTTCAGTTTGCCTTCATTTGGCGGCAGGAGAAGTCAGCACCAGGAATGAAGTCACCGCTGACATTTTACAAATGGGCTTCGGAGCCCCTGCCTGCTGCCGTGTGGTCGGCCGTGGTTCTCCAAGTTTGTGTAGTGATCTTAAAAATAAAAAAAGGAAATAAATCCTCCCGGGACCACATTGAGGTGACTGTATCAAATTGCGGAGTGAATTGAAATGCTAAAGGTACAATTGACCATTTAGACTCTCCTCTGAGGTCGAGACGCTGCGAGATCAATTTTCAATTTTAGAAAGTGGAAGAGGTTAAACAATTTATTAAAATCTATGAAAGTGTTTGCTTTTAGAATACCCTGTTTTATTATGCTCTTCTCAGCCCCCATCTTCTCCATTTCCCTAACCGTGTTGGGAAGGAGCAAGGTTTATTGTTTTAGGCGTTCTGAACATGCAGCAGTATTTACACTGGATTGAAAGCATTTGCTTCCAATGAAAATCTTGTCTTAGATTACAACCCAGCAGTGTAATTTCCCTCCCAGATGGGAGTAAAGTAGCTGTATTTGCCTAAAAACAGTAGGAAGAACAAACTGCATTAAGCCAGGGCTGTTTTTGGCTTGAGCTAATGATGTAACAGAAGCCTTTTATTCAGGAGAGGTCACTGCCAGGGACTGAAGGGGTGATCCGGCTCCTGCCTGAAAGGGTTCTCCATTGTATCTACATAAGTCTTCACTTAAAAAATCCTGGCCCTAATGCTTTTGCTTTCGTACAGCAGAAATAAACAGGAAAGGTCCTGGAGAGTGTTACACGTGGAATACAGAAAGCCTCCCTCTGCTAATGGAGTATATAATTCAGGTGCCCTCAAGGCACACTTTCAGGAATTCTTTTGCCCGAGGTAATGGGAAGCTAAGGCTGCTCTAAGGCCTTGATTATCTATTAATGCACAAAGCTGGAAAAAAGTCATCTCCACTGGATTACGGCAGATATTTCCATAAATTATCAATGAATTCTCTCCTAGGCAGGCACTAGACATTGCTTGCTAAATTAATCTGAAGGGGTTTGAGATGGATAAAAAGGCTATTTTTGTGAAGGTGGAAACCTATCATGGAGAGGTGGGGAAAACAGTATTGTTAGGGTAGCTTTTCGTTTTTAATCACTGATCGGGTCATATGTTTCTTTTCCTTGGCCACCCCTTCTGCAATATCGAAAGTGGATCAGCTATTGCAAATGTGAATGCTGTGGAGTTGTTTTCTTTTCTCATGTTTCTTTAATGAATTGTTATTTTATGTGGTGAATTGCTTCTCTGTAGGAGCAGCTTCTTTAAATACTGGACTTTGAAAGAATGAAGTAGGCAAGCCCTTAGGGATTTCCCATGAAATACTTGGGTATGCAAATAAAGACCAGGCAGCATTGACTTAGGTGTGTGGGTGTTTGGCTCACCAGGGACCCCCAACATCAGCACACCCAGCCATGTGACCTTGAAGCACAGGACTTTCTTCATTAGTTGGATGGGCTGTGATGGTTTTGGAGTTGGGAGGTCTTTCATGATCTTTTTTTTTTTTTTTTTTTTTTTTTGGTTTTTCGAGACAGGGTTTCTCTGTGGCTTTGGAGGCTGTCCTGGAACTAGCTCTTGTAGACCAGGCTGGCCTCGAACTCACAGAGATCCGCCTGCCTCTGCCTCCCAAGTGCTGGGATTAAAGGCGTGCGCCACCAACGCCCGGCCTTTCATGATCTTTTCTAGGGGGAAAAAAACCCCACCCATTCTATGAGCTTGGGCAACTCTCACAACTTTCTATAACGTGAAGTGCACTAAAATTATAAATTTTTGTAGAAGTTTACAGTACTAAGCTCTGCCAGAACTCATGGTGTGGTGAAGCTCTACTAAAAGTCAAAATGGCGGACTCTTGTCTGCACCTCACTGATGGGATTTATCTCAGGACACATCAAGGCAATGGAGAAACACCTGGGGGGGTCACTTTTCATGTTACAAGGGTGGGTTCCCTGAGAGAACAGTTAAATTGAAGCTTCATTTGCAATACAGCTACTATAGATGACAGAATAAGTGAAATCAAACTAGAGGTTTCTTGTCGCACTGAGGACCTGGAGTAGAACCAAGAAATGGAGGAGGGTGAAACTGTGTAAAAAAAAAATCTGAGTGTGAGTTCCAATAGGTAGTCATCAGCCAAATTGTGTTACCAAAGTGTCAAGTTCTTTGGACCATAGGTTCCCAGTGACGTATTTAATGGGGTGAGTGTGCCCTGGGGTGTAGTCCTTACTGCATTTCTAAGCCTTGCCACTGTAGTTCTTCATTCTGGGCCCAGATCAATCCATCCATTCCCAAAGCCCATTAGTAACATTCACAGACAGGACAGAGGTTTCAGGTAGCTCCCTGGCGGGATGACCTGTCAGAACACTGCGGCTGACCAGTGTGGTGGTTTAGTCTGCTGCTGTTTGTCCTTTGACTTGGTGCAAAGATCAAACGTAGGCATTTCTCTTTTAGATCTTGTGACTTATTTTGGTTCCTGTGATTACAAGGGTAACACTTTTTTTCTCATGTTGTCAAATATGGCATTATTAAAGGAAGGCTGTATTATCATTTCATTGAGTCATGGAGCTGAAATATTTCCGAAAATAAACAACTCCAAGTGTTTATAACAAAACCAGTAGGAAAATTAGGATCCACTAGGAATATGTTACCAGGTGACATATCAGTGTGCAATACTTTAAGAAGAAATTTTAGAAACTACCCAGATTTCTAGTGCAGTACAATTCTAATATTTCTTTATTTTATTTCAATAGTAATTATTTTTAATTAAAAGATGCATCAGGGGTTTTTCCCCTCACTAAACTTGACGCTGTTGCTACACTTGGAAAAATCACATCTTCTTCGAAGCATTCCATGGCAAATTGTTTATGTGATGGATTGCCTGCGTTTCCCCATCCTGCTCCAACCAGTCTTAAGATAGATCACCTATGGAAGCAGTTGCTGTATTAAATGCATCTTCTCACCAGTTGACGTCAGTGACTTTGCATGGAGTTCAAATACCCAGGCAGAGATCTCCAGTAACAGTGCCACCACACTGAACTCCTCAGTAGAGGTGTTACACATAATGGAATAATTACCATGGCAACAAGCCACTCCAGAGGTGGATATTTAGCTCCATTCCTTTTGCATTTAGCACTGATCTTTGGAAGACGTTTTTTTCTCTTTTTAAGACATGGTGATTTTTGAGCTGAGGCCTTGTTCTTTCTCTTTGTCTTGGAATAAAATGAAAGTACCGAAGAAGCTACTAATTGTTTAACTGCTCTCTTGGTTTTGCTTGTATCCAAAGGCATTCTATTTGAATAAAGTATATTAAGGTAGCATCAGTCAAAATTTGATTCACTATGTTTGCAGGTGATGGCTTGGACAACAGTGTAGCTTCCCCCAGCACAGGTGACGATGATGACCCTGATAAGGACAAAAAGCGTCACAAAAAGCGTGGCATCTTTCCCAAAGTAGCCACCAATATCATGAGGGCGTGGCTGTTCCAGCATCTCACAGTAAGTGGATTCTCAATGACATATGTAAGCTAAATATGGACAATGAACCCGTTTTGTTAGAGAAAAATGATCCCCCTGGACTTCATACATCACTGTTTTCCCAGTTTTGAACAAAGGGCTGGCACTTATTTCCTAGACCCATACCCTAAATGAGGAGCTTCATTTGAAGTAATTTGTTAATTGTAATTTTGTTAATTTTCATAAGTTACAAGGCTTGGGAATCCATGTATACTTGTGATTTTAAGTGTGTATATTAATGACGTTGCTTTTCAAAGTGAGTCCGAAGAACTTAGAGCTAGTAACTAAGCTTTCTAAGAAGAGAGTCAAACTCACCCCACAGATGGTATCTGTAGTGAGTGTTTTCATTGGACCTTTGTAGTGAATGGTCTGAAAAATTGGCAACTCCCTTTTGATGGCAAGGTGATAATGTCATTTGCCGTAGAGTGGCTTGAATGGATCCTTCCATTATGACAGTGCTGTGAGTCAGAGCCCCCAGTGAAAGTTGTCCCTGCATTTAGAACTGTAAAGGAAAACAGCAATATACAGCCCACTCTTCCTGTGCAATCCCTGGGGACTTTTGAAGTAGAGCAGCAGTCTATATTGTCTGTGTGAGTACTGCTATTTTCACTGCAGGAATTCTGCAGATGTGAGAAACAGGAGACTCAGGGCTTCATGCCAGCAGGGGATTTGTTTGGTTTGGTTATTGTTCTGAATGAATTTCATGCTCAAAATATTTATAATCACAATATTTGGGTGGATATTTTGTAAGTGTATGTGGATTTAATGGTGTCTAAGAAAGAAGCCAAAATGAAAATTTATGGATAAAAGAATATTCTGAAAATAAGTAAACTTGTTGATCAGGGCATTTTCAATATTATGGATGAATATGGACAGGTTAAAATATATGAAAGAAGGTTAAAAATTTGTGACTTTGGCTTCAGTGGCGTCACTATTTTTAAACTTCAGTTACTTTTCTTAACAGCCATTGCCCCTAAACATGAAAGCCCAGGGCCTGGTGAACCTCACTCCCTTGTCCACTTTTCAAGCATGTTCCTCATGAGGTGTTCTGGTCTAAAGGGACGTGCTCAGTGATACCTGAAGTCAGCATTAGTTCTGCTGCTCCACATAGGGGCTGTGCCTCCAATAATACTCAACGATACAAATGAATCCATGCTCTTCAGCCCTGGTGAATGGAGTGAAAGCTGAGAGCAGCAGCAGCAACTAAAAACAGTAGCTTTCCCTTCTGTCTTCTGACTCTTCCATGGTTCAAACCATGGTCTAGACAGTATTGAGTATTCTGTGTAAAGTCAATGAGATGGTTAGTACTGGAGGTTCCTGGTTTTAGACACCGTGGTTTTGACAACACACTGGGTTTCCTTTAAATGTGACCCTGCTTTCATTACTCATCTAAGATTCACTGCATGTAGGTAAACACTTTGTGATCTGCGTGACTTACCACCTGATGATTATCAACCACTGTTCTAGTTGGAGAAGAGAGGACTGTGGTGTCCAGGACCTGTGATGAAAGCATCCATTCAGAGAAGAGGTGGCCATGGGTCAAGGTGCTTATGCAGTGTTGCTGTAAATTTATCCCGAGAGCCAAGCAGCTGACCTGTTCTGCAGTAAGAGTGCAATCAGGCTGGCCCTGAACTTACAGCCAAACTACTGCTAGTTCCTACCTTAACAGGAACAAGAAATCGATATATGAGGTCCCGTCAGCCTGAGAAGGAGCTTTGGGGAGACTTGACGCTGAGATGCTTCTGAGTGAAATAGAGTCAAATGTTGGTTCTCATAGAATCAGGAGAGACAAGAACAAGCTATGTCATCACCTGTCAGTTTTCCCAGGTTGTACCCTTGTGAAGAACCTTGCTATACTGTCTAAAGGAAATAAAAGTCAGACAGACCCCAAATCCTCCCTAATGGCGTGATTTTACCTAAACCACAATGCTTACGTGAGCTGTGTTACAGGGTTAATTGTAATGGAAATTATGAACTGTATGGTTTCTGGAGGCCTGGCTAGTTGCCCTCAGTCACTGGCCTGAGTCCCTGCCCTGGAAGGGAAGTTCTCCTTCCAGGCTTCTTGGGCTTTCTATGAATGTCTGTGGAAGTTGCATTGCAGTTTCTACTGGGGACTTCCACACCCTGACCCCCTCCAGTATCATCTGCTCATATAGAAACACTGATGATGATAATAATACTACTAACGATTTCTCAAAAGTCAGTTGCTCTGGTGACAACAGTCTGAAAGCAAAGCTAGGAGACATTGGATTTCTCACCCCCTTTGCTTCCCCATTGAACACACTCATCCCCACGCTTGTAATGGAAAGACAAGTGGATTCCCACTGTCGAGGAATGTCCCTCCCTCTGTTACGTCTGGGAAATGCTAGTCAAGTCACAGTCAGGAGCAAATTCCAGTACATTCTATGAAAACAAAAAACAGAAAAACAACAACAACAAAACCTGTTGATTTGAATGAGTATTGCTGCATGTGAATACTGAGCCTATGGTAACTTCTAGAGGAGTAGCTCTTTAGGGACACTGCCTTTGGAAGACTGTCACAAATTGTAAACTATCACATTATTTTTATGTGATTAATGTAATTTATCTGAAAACTCCCTTCGGAAATCTACTGTACATAAAAGAGCGATCAAAACTCTGGCTAACTAACAATTGGCAATGACCATTTATTAGCAAATTGTAAGTGAACTTTTCTTATATACTGAAAATTGTATTCTAAAACCTGGAACACCTTGTAGAAAGTCAGTTGCTAGGTTTTTTTTTAATCCCCATTCTTTTGAGTTTCTTCAGTTAAAAAATTGAAAATGCTTCCAAGCATTTGTATCACAGGCATAGAAACGGTTTTATACCCAGCTTCAGGAGAAGGAAACCGCCTTGGTATTTCTTTCCGCAGATAGATTTTAATCAGCAGGCCAGGTTACTAGTCTGGAGAGTTAATGGCTGATTCTTGGACTTAGGGACTCTAGCTGTCCAACCTGCACATTCTTGTGTGTAGTAAAAACAACAGCAAAGAAGACAAGTCTAACACGCAGGTAATTATGAAGTGAGTAGACATTTCAATGCAATCAATCCCCCCAGCTTAGGCTTCCTGAACATTTGTCAGTGTCGCTAAGTAGGGAAAGTCTCTTAAAAGAAATGATTCCCTGTGAGAGAAAAGGATGATTGACATGACTTAGATAGTTAATAAGAGAGAAGAGGAAAGGAAATAGAAGCATTTATACATGGAAATGGTTGCATTTGCCCGAAGACAAACTATTACACAAAATGTCAAACTACGTAATATCTTCATGCGTTAGAATAAGTTTGGGGCTTATGCCAGGTCAAGATATTTCCCCTTCTCCTGGGCATCATCCCCACAGTAAACTGTGTCTCAGAACTTCCCCTGATGTGTTTTGCATTCCACATTTTTTTTACTACATTGTGGTAGAGAGATATATTCAGGGAACTCCTCGAATAAAGAAAAGTATGAAATACTCACGTCAGGTTAAAACCAAGAGTCTTTTTTTTCTTTTGTTTCTCTACCCGATCATATTGCATTTTAAAAACATCTAGACAGAAAAGTGGTTCATGGGGGTCTTATTTAGAATGTGAAGGGACTTGCTTTTCCTGCTTGGAGCCTCTATGTGTCCCAGGAATCCTGAAAGTTGGGGGAAGTGGAGATATTTGAGGTACAGACTCAGATGGAGAAAGCTCTTGAAGGTCAATACTTGGCTTTAACTGACTCCCAGTCCTTCCACTGATAGCAGGATCCCCCTCAGGTGAAGTCTTGTAAATGCTGTTTCGGGGTAAAAAACATATTTTCTATGGGTGTCTGTTTCCTTCATTGTGTTTGTTTGTATGTGTGTGTGTGTGAGAGAGAGAGAGAGGGAGGGAGGGAGAGAGAGAGAGAGAGAATGAGAGAGAGAGAGAGAGAGAGAGAGAGAGAGAGAGAGAGAGAGAGAGAGAGAGAGAGAGAGAGAGAGAGAGAGAGAGAGAGAGAGAACATCTAGCCTGGAAAATATTTTTAAAATTCATGCCTCAACTTCCTCTCATGTAAATACAGCCAATGTGAGGGCTCATAGAATCTTCTGGGTTGAGAATGGTGTTTCCATAGAAACACTATTAGATGAAAAGTGCCCTGCGGGTCTGCCACTCTAGGCAGGGAGCAAATGGATTTGGACTGGGAATTGATTGCTCTAGAAGAGACAGATGTTGTCCACTGGTTCTGATCTCAGTAACAAGATTCTTTGGAGGATCTAGGTGTCAGTCTTGCTAACAGTTCTGGAAAAATCGCTCTCTAAACCCTGCATTTAATTACTGCAGTGGGAGAGTTCTAATTGGCATCCCTATGGCTCATTCTGGTGACCAAGGTAAGAGAGGGGTCGGCAGGCAAGTTGGTATCCACACAGGGAGCTATGGTGCCATTTTCTTTCCTCTTCACGTTTTTATTTCCTAGTGGTGACTATTCTTAGCCAGCCTTACCAGCTCTGAAGGAAGTAGGACAGTTTTTAGAAGGCAGAGAGGCAGGTCATCTGTATTTGAGATGTCAGTCAGGGTCATACATAGTACTGCAGCAAGGAGGTCTAAACCAACCTCAGACCACATTCATTCTTGCATGCCTGGCCAGAGGAAGTGGTTCATAGTTATAGCAGATGTGTACTCTCTGGTGCATGTGTGCTTGCGTGTGTGTATGTGTGTGTGTGTGTGTGTGTCTTTCTGTCTGTCTGTCTGTCTGTCTGTGGTGCTGGGAGTGAAACCCAAGGCCCTACCTTATGCTAAGCCAGCCCCCTACTACTGAGTCATATCTGTAACCCAGAATTTTGATTTTCTTTTTACGACTTGCAGCAATCCTCCTGCTTCAGCCTCCCAAGTGCTAGGATTACAGATATGAACCATCATGTATTACCTATAGATATTAACTATACTTATTAAACACTTAAACACTAGCGGGGTGAGTGACGGCTTTTCCTTTCAGATGTCCATGAACCACATCTAAGACAAAG